CTGTGCTTAACATCCATGTGACCCTAAGTCTGGACAAAAGATCCCTTTCTATGAGTTTGGCTGGTATATCTCAAAGGCGTCTCCTGTCTTGTCAGTGGCATGCCTACTCACCAACAACCCTACCCCCAATTTAAATAACAAGTTCAGTTGGCCAAGTAAAAATAGAGAATTTATAAAAATGATTAATTTATAACATAACATACCAAACAAAAAATATCTGAACCATTTTTATTTTACAGCCTTTCTCCTAATATCAGAGCCCAAATGCAATTTCATGGTTACTGAATTGTAACCTCATGCGCTTGAAACAAGTTGCAGATTCTCTTAATATTCCTCCAGGGTTGCAACTTCTTGGGCACAGATCCATCTTTAGAGGTAGGATCATTGCAGGAAATTTTTCGGCTAACATGCCAGCAGCCTTCTCTGGTCTGGTGCTATGAGGGAAGATTAGTGAAGGTGCCCTTGACGGTTGATGCAGTCTTGGTAAACTCCAGGGCATTGAGTCCCTCCCCTGAAAATTTAACAGCATCATATCATTGAGGGGTCTCAAGTCAGATTAGCCTTGTGCACATGAGGAACATGAGAGAATGACTGTAATGTTCAAGGTAGGATGCATGCTTCAACACCTGCAAATTTCTGATAATCATACACCACATATTGAAATGTCTCTTTTTCAATGTGTGCTGCCTTGACATCTTGTAATTATTTATTATTATTTAATAAATATTATTATTAATATTGATTACAAAAAACAAAATACCATCTTGATAAGAATCTTATACCATGTTTTGATTCCAGTTAAAATATTTATAATAACCAAAAAAGACAATAAAAACAGTAAAATATTTATATCAACACAAACAAAAAATAGTACCTCTGGTTAGTTATTAACACGTCTTCAAAACTATAAACCAAACAACAACTCTCACATTTTGTCACCTTGGACTCTGTCAAAAAATAAATTGTTTTTACAAAAAAAAATAATAATAATAATTCACGTAAACAAAATTTGTGCAACACCAAGTGCCAATAATAATAATTTATTTTGTTTGTGTTTCTTTAAAAATAATAAAAAAATGTCTTCAATCTTGATTAACAAAAAAGATAAGAAAAGAAAATCAAATGATAAAGGAGAAGCAAAAGTGCAAGTGTTTATCATAATAATGGTGGTTATCACCACTCATCATCACTCTAGTTATCATAATAAATAACGAAGTAAATTAATGGAAAATTTAAATTTAACAAAAAATTATTTTAACTATTTTTATTTTACAACTTCTTTTATTTAACAACTTTCTTTTGACAAGCCCAAGAAATTTATTTTATTTATCAAAAAAAACTTATATAAATAATCTAAATTTGCATTTTTTTTTTTTTTAATCCTTAATCCAACAAATGCAATGATAACAAGAATAAGTGAAAATAAACTTGGTGCAATTTGTGAGTAAGTGTTTATCATAAAAATGGTGGTGGTTATCGCCACTCATCATCACATATTAAAATTTTGATTCTTTTATATTATTTAGAGATGACAAAGAAAATACTATACCAAAAGATAAATTTTTAGGACCTTGGAATTTTGATTGTGTCATTGAAAATGTTGATATTGAAAGAAAGTTTCTTGAATTATGTGAAAAGTTTTATAAATCAAGATGCAAACTGTCATTATCACTTAAATGTGGTATTATTGACCTTAATGATGTAAATGTACAAATTGCATTAGGACTAAGGTTTGTATTCACGGATACTATAAGGAGATCACACAGGGTTAAAATCAAGTGTTTTTAAGTGTGTAACTCCCTTAATGATATTCATGATATCTGTGAATACAAACCCTAGTTAGGACCTTCTGTAAAATGTTATTTTGAGGAATCTCTAGACAGGTATAAACTAAAAAAATCAAATACCAAGGTAACCCTAAAGTTACTCAAAGAATTGAATGTTGTAAGTAATCTTAATAAAAGTGAAATTCAATAATAGATGATTTAAATGAAATTTATACTTTTATTATTTATTTATGATCACATTCAGACTAGTATGGATAAATTGGCCAAAACATTGTCAAGTATTGAGATAGACTATACAAATGTTGATCAAGATATCATTTACATAAAGAGGCTTTTTGAAAAATTGTATCTAATTTTTGTACTGTTATTATGAAAGTTTGATTATCATCAACATTTAACATTATTTATTTCGCATACAGCTTTTTATTATTCAAAAATAACAATATTTTACACTTGGATAATCCTTAGTTACCTGAAGGCTGGTATAACAGCAACATCATAACTCCATTATTTGATGGTTGTTTGTTAACATTTACAGAATTTGTTCTTCAATGGTGATCATTGATAAGATTTTTTTTTTGTTATTATTATCATCTTGGCAAATTTTTTATGTTTATTGTTCTTGAATAGTGGCAAGGTTGCTAGCAAGGTTCAGAAGGCCATAGTAGAGAATCCAAGAAAGTGCAAAAAATATGATGGAATAATGTCCATAATCAATACCATTACTTTCTATTCATGGGCCCAAACATTTCACTTCTTCTATGGGGAATGTTTTACTTTAAAGATGGTCTGATTCCATAAAATCAGAGAGCTGAAATAATCACTACTTGACTATTTGATAGTAAACTTTTTCATAATTAGGATGACAGTGTTGAAATAAATCAACTGGGTAATATACATTTATTAATACAAAGATATATGTGGGTAAAATATAATTTTATTTAATAAAGATATTATATGATAGTGTGGTTTCAAGTTCACTTAAAGTAAAA